ACCGGTAGACTGCGTACAGCGTACCGCAAAATAATGCGGTATCGCCCGCGCATTTTGAATGGCTGCATCTGTGTCTTTTCTTACTATAAAATGCTCTGAGAAGCCATTTATGGAGGTGTTATATAAAGCTTTATTATTATTGTTAATAATAATAATACATATTATTAAAATCAAAGACTAAATAATAATACATATTATTATTATTATTATTATTTAGTCTTTGATTTTCCTAGCTGTTATGTGCTTTTATGTACTTACAGTATGTGATTTATGACAATTAGGACATTTACTTGTTCTAGGAATTCCTTGTATTTTGGAATCCTCACACTAAAAATGTTACCATTTCACTTTTGCGCATCCATAGTGTAGGGAGATTAAGTTCAGAGTAGAATCAGTTTTTATTTGGATGCAGGTTTTTCTGTTTTAGTTTAGGTGTTGCATAGTGTTTCAGATTTCAGGGATAGAATTCTGAAATTCTATGTCTGAAGGACATTCTAAAACATTAAGAACATGTAAAGGTTTATTCCATGCTGAAAAGAGAAGAAAAGAAACACAACGTTTCAGCTATGGAGCCTTCTGCAGGTGTAGATTCTAAAACATACAGATGCAGCCATTCAAAGTCTGCGGTACAAAACCGTACTGCGGGCAACACACTGCATCATACCGTGTCATAACACGCATTACCGCGGTACGTGATTGGCTGGCCAAAATGACCGGTAGGGGGCACTCGTGGTGCGTTGGTTAGACGTGGAAAGATTTAATTATTTAATGTCTTTACTGTGCATGTTTTAATCCGCATAGTATTGAATATTTATATGGAATTTTACAACTAAAGGGAAATTTTGGTAGCTGAGCATAAAAAGAAGAGGTGCATAACACATCTGAAGGTCATAAACGATATTAAGTTAGGAACATAAACATATTACTGTATGTAATATATGGCTGGTCTTGGTAGTTTAAAGAAAAAATACACACCAGTCTTCCATTTCTCCCTAAACATTTTAAGCATCAAAGTTTTATAAAACGATCCCCAAATATGCGATTGCTGTGTAGAATGTATTTTAATTTTAAAAATTTATTTAACACGAACATTAAGATGTTTATGTTCCTCCACCTGAGAATAAAGTCCCTTGTTGCTACACAACACAGAAACACAGCCACAAGTAACTAGCAAAGAGAGGACATTAGCTAGCCAATATGATAAAGGAATAAATGACTTTTTTTGTTTATTTCTTTATCACATTTATTAATTATTTATTATATCCATCGATTGTACAAGCACTGAAAAACTGTCCAATCCCTAGTTTGTCAGGCATTTTTTTTACTATAACAGACATAAAACTCCCTTGCTTTTAACAGAGCGTTTAATAATTTCTAAGAATAAAAATGATTTACTTAAACTATGCAACACTTATCATTCAACGAGAGTTCAAAATATCACAAAGATCCTCAAGAGCAAACAAAGACAGCAGAAAAGGATACGTGTATCCTATGCTAAGACGTAGTCTTTAAAATGTCTTTATCACATAGTAAAAAGTTAAAATTCTGGGGTGTGCATATACCAGAGAATATGGTACTGCTTCAGAATGGTGTCAGCCAATCACCATTCTGAAGCCATTAATTTTTTTCCTTCTGATTGGGGAAAAGAAGACCTGCTGATCTGTTCTACATACCAGGAAGACAACAGGATATGATTTTTTCTATTTGAAATGTGTATTTCAAACGTTTAATTAAAAAGTAAAGACCTTACAGTATGCACAGATTTCTAAGCTGATCAGGAGGAAAAAAATCACCAGTTTTTCATGCACAAAAAGTGGTTATTAACTATCGAAACCTATTTTTATCGCTTTTAAAGTTATGCAATTTCTACGTTGAGCAGGAACACATCATTACATCCCATTTTTTATTATTTTTATGAAAAAATTTGATTGCCCAGCCTAATTGGGTGTTTATAATATTGTGGCATTATTATATAGGATGGACACAGTGACTCAGGTACTCGTTGAATGAAAAATGGTGCTTTATTTAAGATATAATGATGTGTTCTTGCTTAGACATTGCACTTTAAAAGCATGGGTGATTTTCTTCCTCCTTTTTAAGACTAACTCCTTCTTGGCTATCCCAAGAAAAATAAATCTAAACGGAGACAAAGCTACGCTGAAAGTTTATTAAGATACTTAGAAGACAAAGATAACACTTTACGTTGCATTTGTCAGATTGTAAATCAATAAAGACATTTAATTAAACACGCGTTTGCGATTTAAATCAAAATGGGGCTGTAGTGGCGAGGCTTATTAATAAGAAAGAATTAAGTGTTCTGAGCCTTCCCAAATGAGGCCCCATTTCTAGGTCACGTTGACTTGAGTTGTTTTACCGCAGCGTACCCCAGTTGTTTTGAATGGCTGCATCTGTTTAATGTAACATGTAATATTATGTGTTGTATAGCTATTGTTAATAAATATTTGTTTTGTCCACATTTTGATTTATTACTTGTGATGTAAAAGGTAGCCATCACTTAAGGGAGTGTTTCAAGCAGACCCATTATAAAAGACACACCCATTGAGAAGCTAATTATAATATAGTCTGTGGGCAATTCTTTTGCTTATACTTGTTTTTTAACTCCCCTGAGTATAGTACTCAAAGACATGAGGACAAATAATTTATTTCTTCAAATCTGGACTGCTTTGTTTTATGAAAATCGATGTTTTGGGAAAATAATAATAATACAAACAAAAGAGCTTATGGATAGAGTTGAGAAAACTGTTGGAAAGTAAAGAATTAGAAAAGATAAAGTTACTATACAACAATTAGGTGTTGGTAAATTCATATTCTAAACTAAGGCAGAGGCAGTAAGTTGCAGTAAACTCTTATCAAGATAAAGATTAGGAGGTGAACAGACTAGAGAAATATGGTGTGTTTATTTTATTTACAGTATGTTATGAATAGGAGGGAAATGGGCTGATTCGTGAAGATTTGTCAATGCATAGAGTGGTGTGACACAGCATAGGAGCTGATCCATTAGATGTGCATTAGTAGAATGCATATTAGCTTCCTCAGGTCTTAACGCCCCAGGTCCTGACTTCCAAATCTTCATAACATCTGATTCTCCCAGGTCTAATTTCCCAGTTCTGATTTTTGGTTTTCCCTTTTTATTATCCTCACACAAAAACATTCCAAAGTCTTATCTGCCAGGCTTCTGGTCAGCAAATTTGAATCTGAGATTTGCATATCTCTCCTTCAGGAATTTAGGAGAACCATGACAAAATGTCCTTTATTTGTCTAAAACATATGTTTGTGATATTTGGATTTCTGAACTTCCCTTGTTTTGCCAATTCATTTAAAATGAAACAAGCATTCTAAAGCTTAAAACTGAAAGTCAGAAATCAATAATGTAGGTATTGTATGACAAGTTTTCTCTCATGTAATGATCTAATAAGGAATGTGAGAATGTTATCACGTTATCAAAATTGTAATCATAATTGTATAATTACAAGAGAATTTGATATGTCATACTTACAAGATAATCGGCTATCTCATAACTACAAGATAGTACATTCTTGCATACGGTATGTGATCGTCATTATGAATCACTATGAGTGAACCCCAGTGGAAATTAAATCCATATATATTTTGCAGTATTATACATTATCAGGAACACTAAACCCACAGTTCCAGAAAAGCTATCAGTAGCAGTTTGTAGAGTTTGTTATTCCACAATGCAAAAGGTTGTTCATACACTCAAATGATCATGGCTGTCTTGTCATTAAAAGATCATCTGCTATCTTGTAATCACAAATAATTTACTATCTTGTAAATAACTTAATTTGTTTTCCTTGATTGCACCAATGTGCTTCTGTACAGAATAGTGGACTTATACAGTCTGATCAGTTGTGTCAATGTACTGTATTACTTGTCTGTATTTGGACTAACTGTCATGTCTGTGAAGTGTTTTATTACTTTTTATGTCCACGAGCAGTGCTGGCAACTTCATTTTCCCCAAGTTCCATGCATATTAAAAGGTAGATATAGTCTTGCAACTTATCAGTGCTGAAGCTAGCCAAGGAATTACTGTCCTGCTTTTTCAGCTGGCAGGGAAGTATCTAGTCTTCACTTAGAGAAACATCCACAGCTATGACTCATCAGATCATTTCCTTCAACTGTAATCCTTAGCAAATTAGAAGCTTCGCCCCTCGACGAAACATCTAATACAATATCAACAAGCTGTAATGCCACCTACAGTTCATTCAGCGGTTAATTCCTTACATCTGTAGTCTGTTAAAAATGTTTCTCACATAGAAAACCTGTTTTTCAGCATGCCTGACATGGACAGCATTACACACTAGTACTGGCCTTTGTCATGTGTCTAAAATTATATCTAATGCTTGCGTATATTTCCTGACCCAACTCTATATGCTGTAACAGTAGACTGGTATAAGTATGTTAACTTTCTTTTAATGCTTACTATAGAAGTAGTTCCTTATGAGTGTGAAAAAGCGGGCACCTCAGCTTTACTGCAATGAAAGCTTTGTTTTCATTTACTTGAAGTTGGACATGCAAGTTGAGGTCCAGAAAATAAAATTCCATTATTAATCTGTGTTTCAGTGCTCCTACAGGAAGGCAATGACACCTGTAATGGACTAGTGTGGTTCAAGATCCAGAATATATGGTACACAGTATGTGCAGAGAATTGGTCTGGGGAAGTCTCTCAATCTGTGTGTCAGTACCTGGGCTTTAGGTAAGGTACCCCCATATTGTTTAATCATTATAAAAATGGACAAGTACAATTCTAAACATCAAATATCTATTTTCAAATCATAAATTATTTTCCTGATTGTTAACATTGTCTGTGTAGTAGGTGAAATTTAATATGTATGGAATTTTTTTCTTTTATTTTCCATGTATCTTGGATATCTTAAATATTATGATTCTATTTTATGCAATATAGAAGAGGAAAGTGTGAATCATTTGTTAACATGTTTGTACTCAACTTCCTCACTTGTGGTCCTGGTAGTCACAACATTACATATCACACTGCAGTAAAGATACACTATGGGTACACAGTTATACACTTATCCACATATTGACACTCTCTCATCTGTGCTGAGCTAATTCACCAAATCTTTACCTCTAAATTAGATTGGATAAATTTCTTCCAGGCACATTTCTAAAAGATGCAATTGTTAAAACTGTTTTAGAAAACAAAATTAATTAATATTAGTTGTTTTAAATTTAATTTTGTTCTTCTTCCTGTGACTATTATAAAGTAGACAATAGATTTTCTTTAAGATTATTTATATTTCCAATAACTTTGGGGCATGTCCAAACTGGGTCTGCCTTGTCCCCTGGCAACAGCAACATACCCACAAGTTCCCATCCAGTCACTCAAACTAAATCAGGACGCTGTTCGATTAAGCCAACCCTTTTCCAATCAGCCTTCTGATCTAGATCTCAATGTCACTAATTAGAAGCCCTATTTAGTTTCTTGGAACTACCATATAATTGCTCCATCATTAGAGCCTTAATCTCTGTGCGAACTTCCGCATCTCTCTAAATGAAAGTTTTTCTTTTGCTTCTGTGCTTGCCTGTGCTGCAGTTTTTAATTTTTTCATTATTAGTCTGGATCATTTTTTTCTACTCTCCCTTTTTTGTTTCCTATTTTTCTTCCTTGTCCTTCGTATTTTATGTTTTCCTTTTTTTTTGCTTTTGTGATCCTTTCTTTCTGGTTTGGTTCACAAGCTTCTCCCCTTTATTTTTTACCTGTTTTTAACGAACTGACCAGTTTCCATCCTGCATCATTTCTTAATGATTCTCCTGATCCTGACACCTAGCACTGTTTCCTTATCATCTTTATCTGCATACTGAAAACTGCACCTGGGCTTCGACCAACCATCACGCTGCTGCACATAACACCAACTGCAGCATAACATTAAGTAGTCTTTTGCTAAAAAATGCTTAGAAAAGGGAAAACTGAAAGCAATAATGAAGTTAAAGGAATAATTGCTTTTTGCACTTTAATTAATATAATGTATTTATTACCTTTCAGAGGAGGCGATTACAAAACTGTTTCCATTACTAACAGAAATGATTCCTTCATAACTCTGAGCAAGACAGTAAATGGCAGTTTAGAGCTTATACCCAGGTAAAGTATCAATACAAATACAAAATAATCTGATGTTCTTATTATAGTAATGCAGCTCATAATAAAGGATTAGGTACTGGTGGAGTCAAAGTGCTGCAGCTGCTGGAATTGACAGATCTGGGTACAAGTGATGTCACAGCGGTGCAGATCATGATATTCAAATGATTACTGTAAATACACTGTAAGGTACAAGGTACTGTAAATACTGCACTCATCCACCTATATTACTTTAGTTCTCATTAAGACCTAAAAGTTGGCCTTAGTAAAAGTAAAATTCTAAGTAGGGTCCAGTCAGTCTGGACCAATAGCACTAATAAATGGGAGGAAACATGTGCCAGTTTTTAGCCCAACTGATTAGAACAGAGAACAAAATGGAAATGGAACCAAGATGGACGACAAGAAACCTTAACATATTAATAGACATGAGAGACATGAGAACACAGGCCAACGAAACAGAGCAAGTAAAACTTAGGTATCTGGATATTTAATTATCCCAAAGTCCTAAAGCTAGATGATGCCACAAACTTTCAAAACATACAAAAGTGTGAGAATTACTGGTAAATTAGCAACTTATATTTAGCTACTACTTTTACCAGTAATTACTAGTTAATTACTGCATAATTATTTTTTGCTGACACGGCTACCCACCTGAATAATTATTATTTGTATCGTATATTAATATATATTAAGGTACATGACAATGAAATGGATGAAAGTCCAACAAAAGGGAAGGGAAAAGTGATAAGATTATTTTACACAGGAAACTAGTAGTAAATAGATTTTGAAAAGTATAGTTCATCAGGTGTATTGTTTTCCAAAAAAATATAACGTCAAACTAACAGACACTGAATACAAAATTGCTTACAAACATACATCCCGTGAAATGAACTCAACAGAAGACAAGCTAACAGCAATTTGACGCATACTACTAAACACGATGAGTAATGAGACCACGAGTACTTCTTAAACTTGCCATGTGTTAAAGAGCCTTCTTTTACTCTCACATCCAAAATATTACTAAAAATAATCAGTATTTTGGGAAAAGCGGTAGAATTCTTTTATTTTCACTCATGTGATTGGTTATACTTATGTATTATGTGTATCCAAGTTACACAGTTGCATTGTACAGCTTAAAGCTAGTTGCTAGAAGATAATTTATATCTGCATTGTTTTCTTAATGTAAGAATGTCTAATGATTTTGAAAATATCATACAGCAGGATCTTAATATGAAATTAATAAACATTATGTTAATGTGTGTGTTCTGCTTAATCTTTTATTTTTATTTTTCTAGTGATATATGCACCAATGAGAAAGTGATATATCTGCAATGTGAAAAAAAATGTAAGACATATACAGCAATTTTGACCATGTTTTTAAATTACATCATAAATACAATTAATAGACTGTTTATTTAATAGAACACAATTAATTATGTGATTATCACTGGAACACCATAAAACTTGGATCTTGCAGATTCCTACCAGACATGCTGCCTAAGTTAATTGTTATCTAAATTGTCTCTGTGTGCTTGTGTTTGAGGTGAAAACACCTTGTGTCTTTTTTTTACCTGAATCATTCTCAATATGACCCTCTAAAAGTTAAATTCTATAATTGGAAAAACATTATCCCTATGGGGGTCATCATTGACCAGGATTCAAAACCTTGTGCCTTCAATTGACAGCCCAAATGCTTTCACAAGCCATGTTAATTATTCACTGTACCAGCTGGTAGTTTTACAAAGTAGTGCAGTCCTGCAACAGAATATTTTTAAAAAGTGGTATGTACACTGCATTCTGCTGTATTATTTGTCATGTATTCAGAATGGCTGGATCTGTACAAAAACATAAATATGCACATACTCACACCAGAACAAAGTTTCCCAGAAGCCACTTAACCTACCAGTATTTTTTTGGACTTTAGAAGAAAACCAGAGCACCCAGAGGTAACCCACACAATCAAAGAGAAAACACCATGCAGTTAAAGCCTTTTACTGCCGAAGAACCTTTTAGCCAGTGTTTTCCTCTCCTTAAACATTTTGTTATATCTCTGCAGCAGAACATAGCAGGAGCCTGGTTCAGGTCTTAAATTGAAGCTAACCCCCTTGGCTTTGAGTTTGTCAAATATATTTTATTTCATAATGTGTCCAATCAGCAGACAAACATATGAAAACAAAACCCAAAAAGCAGCAGGTGGAAGTTTTGTTTTGGTCTTCAAAGGTCAGAATTTTCATTTCTAGGCCTGTCAGGTAGCTGTTAATAATTTGTAAACCTTGTCCTAGGTGTCTGCTCGCTTGGATAAAAATCTAGGACAAATAGATCAATTTGAAAAAAGTCTACATAATGTTAATGAAGACTGGACCTGGAATGAAATTTCTCACATAAAATAAATAAATCATAAAAAAATAAAAACCATTGAAATTGCTATACAAACCTTTAGACGCTGCCAGAGAGCCTTTTTCTGCTGTTAGGCATTGAAAAAAAAAACTCAGAGTTGCCTTCTGGTGTGAAAAAAGGAGCACTGATAAGAAACTGATAAAAAACTGATTGATTACCCATTCTGAGTCAATGATTGACAGCTAGAAGGCAGGCAGAATGCAGCCTGAGGCTTCTAGAGGAAGTCTCACCCCCTAAGGGCTCTGAATGGCTGAAAATACAATGAATGACAGCGTTTCTTTCCAATCATATCACCTTATATCTGGCTGTCCTGCTTCAAATATCTATTCCAAAGTCAATAACGTTCAGTTTCCACCAGGTCTGGAGGTGGGTTAGTCTAGCCTTTATTGGATATATATCATGCTTCAGAATAAGGTAAAAACATGTGATTTTTTTTTTTTTGTTGGTTTTTGCTTTTGCGGTCTTGTTTTGCTGGCTTAATGATTACCTTATTGATGCACTTTGGAAGTGCATCATCAGATAAAAAGTGACTTTGTGATTGATTGTCTTGTTTTTTTCTTTAAAAACACGTTTTTTGAAACTCTAGTTGTCTTTTTTTGATTGATAAAAGGTTTTGTGGTTTTGTTGGTAAAAAACAATTACATTTGATGCAGGAATCAAAAGTAAATATTGATTTAAACCATGGTCACTTGCAACTACGTCACGCACCGGCTAGGTTTGATTAAATTAGTGTTTTATTGGTGGGGTTCTGAAAATGTTTTTGTGAAGCTCTAGTTGAGCCTTTTTTGATTGATAAAATGAAGTGAGATGCTCTTAGACCTTTGCCTCTTTTGCATCCATGTTTGAATCAAGAATATCTAGTACTTGGTTGCATTTTTAAAAATAAATAGTTTCTTAGTTTGAATAAACCGGATCCCAGGTGCAAGTGACTTCATAACATGAGAAGACATTATGCTATATTTTTTATGCATTAATTGAAGCCTTTTGAAGTCTCTCAAAAACATAAAAATGTAACATAATATTGTGTGGCATGATGAGCAACTGATTCTTTTAATTTTAAAGAAAATCAAAAACAGGAACAAGGGAATAAAGCTTACTTTGATTACTTAAACCCTTTCTTTCTTTCTTTATGTCCTGTTTTCATTCAGGTAAGGGTCAACTATATACACAATACTGCTGACAGCAGGAAGTTTCAATTATTCTTTACTCAGCAGCTTATTAAAAACAGCTCCCATGATGTTCAAAACGATTTTTTTTACACAGAAGACTGATACAGCTTTGCATTCTGAATCTCTTTTTCTTGTGTGTTTTACACACTAAGCAGGTCCTCTGAACTTTCCAAGTCTATTCACAAGTCGATAGCTTTTCAAGCACAACATTCACAATGCTGCAATGAAGTGTTTTACACACAAGACAGCCCCCTCACCTCATACAACCTTGCTTTAGGTTTCTTTTTTTTCTTTTTTTGACTGTAATCAAGTGTTGTGCACACTAGGCTGGCCTCCTGACCTTTCACAGTCATGCTTTGTTGTGTGAAACTTTAATTATCTTTTTAGGATTTTTTTAACATGGCAGCTTCCACCGAGATGGGTGGGGTGCTCTTCAATAGCTTTTTCATCTATACACACAAACGGCTGTAACCAAGGCACTCAGAACCAACAGAATCAACCTGAAGTCATAGAAAAACAAGAATGCCCCCAAGAAACCTGCACCCCCCTCCTGGACCACTCTGGTATCAACAACCCCAAACCAATTCATTCGTTTGTATACGGTGAGGGTGGCTCTCTGGTATGTAAAACCCATGATTGCAGCATTGTGAATGTTGTGCTGGAAGAGATATTGACTCATGAATACCACCCCCCATCCCCATGTACTGCCTCTCTAATGGTGCCATATTGAAAACATCATAAAAAAATAAGGAAAGTTTCACGGCCCAAAGCAAGGCTTGGAAAGGTCAGAGGACCTGTTTAGTGTGTAAAAGACTTACTTGCAGCATTGTGGGTGCTGTGGTTTAAATGCTATTGGCTTGTGAACAGCATTCCCCTATCCCCTATCCCAGCCATATAGCCAGCAGCCATATCACCCTGCAACTCACAACTGGCAGCCCAGTGAAGCTAAGCAGGTGTGAGCCTGGTCAGTACCTGGATGAGAGACCTCCTGGGAAAAACTAAGGTTGCTGCTGGAAGAGATGTTAGTGGGACCAGCAGGGGGCACTCACCCTGCGGTCCATGTGGGTCCTAATGCCCCAGTATAGTGACGGGGACACTATACTGTAAAGAGAAGCCGTCCTTCGGATGAGATGTAAAACCGAGGTCCTGACTCTCTGTGGTCATTAAAAATCCCAGGGTGTTTCTCGTAAAGAGTAGGGATGTAACCCCAGCGTCCTGGCCAAATTTCCCATTGGCCTTTACCTAATAATCCTAATAATCCTCATCTATGAATTGGCTTAATTACTCTGCTCTCCTCCTGAGTCCCCATTACCTGTAAAGCGCTTTGAGTGGAGTGTCCAGAAAAGCACTATATAAATGTAAGCAATTATTATTGAGTGATTCATTACCTGAATGAAAACAGGTCATAAAGAAAGGGTTTCAGAAATCAAACACCTTTATTCCCATGCTTACAGTTTGGGTAATTGGAGACTGCGCTGTTCTGCTTCCTATGGTGATATACGGGTTTTTCACACAAAGTCGTATTGAGCAGTATTTCTCGGGTTGTGCATGTGTGTACACAGCATTCCCCCAGGTTCCAGTGATAGTTTGGTGTAGAGGGTGTGCATTTGGTTTGAAGGCGTTCTGTGTTTCCATTGTGAAGATATGGACAAAAAAATTTTTGTGTGTGGTCAAAAAAATGTCATAAAAACGACAAAGTGAAGGCTGTGAAAACAGTCACAATGTACTTTATACACAAAGCAAGTGTTCTCGCAACTCTAAGAGGTTTCGTGAAAACTCTACAAGTGTGCCAAAATCGTTCTCGAACATCAAGCTAACTTTATCCCGGTTACAAAATGTGTTTAGTTAAAAACACGAAATCCCTGAAAAGTGGATGATTTTTCTTCCTTGTGATCATATTAGAATCTTTGTATAAGCTGTAAGTCTCATAACTTTTAATTTAACATCTTAAAAACTTTAATTTTGTAAACGCAACATGCATTTTGTACAGATACAGTACAATTACATTCCCATGGTGTAAAGTAAATTAGCAGGTGGTTGAGAAAATAGTGCACCGCCCACTGAGCTCAGTTAGAGAAGAGGCAGCACTTTCTTTTTAAGGAGACCATTCTGCAGCTTGCAGTGTTTATGGCAGTGAGAGCATCTGCCTTTAAAACTTAATAATGGAATGTAAATCATTTCTTTTAACTTGAAATCTTTTAATTTTCATTAAACATAGATTTCTCACCAGTTAGTTTCATATTTGAAACCATCATAAAAAACAAAGCAGGGGCTTATTGTATTTTCTAGTGACTTTCTAATCACATGGGAAGATTATACATTTTAATCGTTTTTCATCAAAAAAAAATAAATTTTAGAAAAGTTTGATCTACACAAATATCACAGGAACATTTTCAATTGTATTTCTAAATGTAATGTCACAGTTCAATATTTTATATACATCTAAATAAAGTCAGGTGTCAGGTACATAAACTATTAGTAATCAATAATTAGTATTAAAATTTGCACTGTGATAAATTGTTGCACTTCCACATCTTGTAAAAACATTAATTTGCAAGACTGTGTTCAAACATACGTTAAATCTGACTATCAAAAAACCAAGGTTCACTTTTTATTTCTCTCCCTACTCTCTCTCACCTGCTGCGATTCTGACACAGAATAGTTAAAAATAGGAACAGGTCAGGCAGGCAGACGGAAGTGGTAGGAGTGAAACTGTTACCTGTCCTGGATAAAGCGGTCAGAAAATAGGTGGATTTACACTTGTGTAAAGCATTCCAAT